CCAGCTTTTTGTTTTGTTGATTTTCTCTATGTATTTTTTTTGTTTGTTTTCTGTTTCATTTATTTCTGCTCTGATCTTTATTATTTCCTTGCTTCTAGATACTGTAGGATTCTTCTGTTGTTCTATTTCTAGTTGTTGGAGTTGATGAATTACAGTGTTGATTTTGTTTCTTTCCTCTTTTTTGATGTATGCATTTATTGCTATAAACTGTCCTCTGAGTACTGCTTTCATTGTGTCCCACAGGTTTTGGTATGATGTATCTTCATTCTCATTTATTTCTAGGAATTTTTTTTTTTTTTAATTTCAGTTTTTATCTTTTCTGTTACCCAGTAGTTTTTGAGTAGTGAGTTGTTCAGCTTCCATATGTTTGATGCTTTTTCCTTGCTCTTCCTATTATTAATTTCTAATTTTATAGCATTGTGGTCTGAGAAGATGCTTTGCAGTATTTCAATACTTTTGAATGTATTGAGGCTTGTTTTATGTCCTAACATATAGTCTGTTTTGGAGAAGGATCCATGTGCACTGGAGAAGAATGTGAATTATTCTTTTCTTGGGTGAAATGCTCTGTTCCTGTGCAGATGTCTATTAAGTCGAGTTAGTTGATTGTCTTGTTGAGTTCTTCTGTATCTTTGTTGAGTTGTTTTCTAGTTGACCTGTCCCTCTTTGAAAGTGGTGTGTTAAAGTCTCCTACTGCTATTGTAGAGTTGTCTATTATCCCTTTTAATTCAGTTAATATTTGCTTCATGTATTTTGGAGCACTTTCATTAGGTGCATAAATATTTATTATTGTTAACGTCTTGTCAATTGAGTCTTTCAGCATCATATAATGTCCCTCCTTATTTCTTAAGATTTTTCACCTTAATATCTATTTTACCAGAAATCAATATTGCTACTCCTGCTCTTTTTTGGTTTCCATTGGCTTCTGTATTTTTTTCCATCCCTTAACTCTTAATTTGTTTTTATCTTTGTGTCTAAGGTGGGTCTCTTGTAGGCAGCATATCAATGGGTCTTTTTTTCTTATACAGTCTACCACTCTCTTTCTCTTGTAGGTGCATTTAGTCCATTCACATTGAGTATAATTAGTGATAGGTATGAATTGATTGCCATCATTCTGTTGTGTTTTTTTGACATGTTGTTGGTGTTTCCTTGGTCCATGTACTTTTCTGTGGTGGGCTCGGTTTGTTGGCTAATGCTTTCTCCATTTTCTTCTTTATTGTTGGTTTTGTGCTTATTAAACTAGTATGTTTTCCTTCCTTCTGGATTTGCTTAGGGGGATTGTTACTTTTCTCAGTGGTTACCTTGGAGTATATTCTTGTCTCTACAATTTGAGAACAGTGCATACTGTGAAGACATTGTCCTGTTTTCCTCTCCATTTGAAAGTTTGTACCTAGAAGTTTTATTCCCTCTGAAAGGTTAGTTGCTGCTGTGTGCTGACTGACTTCCTTGGTTTTGAGAGAACAATGTTTCATGGTCTTATTTTGAGTTTCTATTTCTGATTTGGTTTTAGTGTTGATGCCACGTATCCTGATTTTGTTGATCTCTGTTGTGGGTTCTTTATTGGAAGAACTTCCTTAAGCATTTCTTGTAGGATCAGTCTGTTTTTTAAAAAATGCCTTAATTTCTGTCTGAGAATGCCTGATTTTGCCCTCATATTTGATGGATAATTTGGTTGGATATAGGATTCTTGGTTGGAAGTTCTTTTCCTTCAGTGTTTTATATATGCTGTCCCATTGCCTTCTTGCCTGCATGGTTTCTGCTGAGCAATTGCAGCTCAGCCTAACTGTTTGATTATTATAAGTAATATTTCTTTTGTCCCAGGCAGCTCTCAAAAGTTTTTCTTTGTCTTTGGTTTTGGAGAGTTTGATTATGATATGCCTTGGTGTTTTTCCCTTGGGATCTATCTTGTGTGGGGTTCTATGAGTTTCTTGGACAAATATCTTTTCTTCTATCATGATATAGGGGAAGTTTTCTGTTAACAGGTCTTCCACAATTTTCTCGGTGCTTTTTTTCACCTCTTCTTGTTCTGGAATTTCAATGAGTCTTCTTCTTCTTTTATTATTTTTCATGTCATCCCATGTAATTCTTAGGTTCTCTTAATTTTTCTTAAATCTTGCTTCTGATTTTTCTTCATATAGGCTGGTGACCAGGGATTTGTCTTCTAGTTGGTATATGTGTTCTTTAGCTTGCTCTAACCTACTTTTTTTGTGCTTCTACTGTGTTGTGTAATTCTGTAATTTTGGTATTCATCTTCCAGATTTCTAACTGCTGTTTTTGTAAGAGTTCTGATTGTGCATTAGTCTTATTATTTTGTTCTTGAATGATTTTCCTGAGTTCTTCCAGGGAACTGTCTGTGTTCTCCTTGTTTCTGTCTGGGGTTTCCTTAGGCTCTTGTAAAGCTCTATAAACATATCTTCTAAATTCCTTCTCAGATAATTCTATTTCCTTCTCTTCCTTCATGTATAATGAGACCTTTGTTTGTGGTTTTGCTTCTAATGCTTTGACCTGTTTTTTTTTTTTGTTTGTTTGATTTGAGGTTGCCTGTTGTTTCCTAGACATTTTGAGGTTGTCTTTAATTGCTGGTTATGTATTGATTTGTTTTGTCTTGGTTTTATGGTTTACTATTTTGAAAAGGTGAGGCTGTTTTTTATTTATTATTATTATTTTTTCCCCATTATTAATTCAGGTATGCTGGGTTGCTCTGCAGTTTTCTTTGTGATGGTTGAATCACCGTGTGGAATGTGGATATGGGTTTCTGTTTGTTGTAAGGAGGGTTTACAGTTCGAACCGGGAGGTTTTAGGGTAGCTGAATGTGGTTTGTTTTATTGGATGAGAGAAGGTGGGAGCGGAGGAAGGAAAGCTTGCTGTTGCTAGGGGTGGTTTCTAGATCTTTGAGTGGGCTGCTATAGATGACATTGTACTGTTATTTACAGGTCCACAGCTCAATTTCAGCAAAGGCTCCAGTTGTTAGGGGATCACCACTTTTTGCCAGGCTCAGACCCACAAAAACTCTGCTCTCAAGGCCCCTTGGTGCCAAAAAGCTGACCCAAGACAACTTCCCGGCTCTGTGATCTGCCGCAGGGATTTCTCTCTCTGGCCCCACTCACCCACAGTGCTGGCCCAATCCACCCAGACTGCAATCTCCTTGGGAGGTCCTCTGTGAGTCCGCCCACCCACGATGCCAAAGATCTGCTTGGTTTCAGTGGCACTAGAGTTGAGAGAGTGCCGGCTAGTAATCTGTGGTCCCAATATTACTGATAAAGTCAAGTGCAGACCTCTCAGTGCCATTAAGCTGACCCAAGCCTATTCAGTGACTCACTGCG